AGAAGTCGTGAGATTCCTGCTACGAGAAATAATACCCCGATATGGACTACCCTGCTCTATAGGATCGGACAATGGTCCAGCTTTTGTTCATCAGTGCTTACAACAACTGACTCATATGCTTGGTATAAAGTGGAGGCTTCATACGGCATATAGACCCCAGAGTTCTGGTAAGGTAGAGAGAATGAATAGAACTATTAAGAATCAGTTGGCTAAAATGTGTCAGGAAACCCAACTTAAGTGGAACGTTCTCTTGCCCATAGCTCTATTGCGAATCCGTAGTACACCTACCAGAAGGATGGGCCTCTCTCCTTTTGAAATCATGTACGGGCGACCACCTCCCGTGCTTGGTAACTTAAGGGGGGATTTGAGTCAGTTGGGAGAAGGAATTACCCGGCAGCAGGTTGTAGAGTTGGGTAAGACTATGGAGGAGGTACAGAAATGGGTACAAGATAGATTACCTGTGAATATTTATCCCCCAATTCATAGTTACCACCCAGGCGACCAAGTGTGGATTAAAGAGTGGAATAATGTGCCGTTAGGGCCCAAGTGGAGAGGTCCTTATGTTGTTCTTCTGTCTACCCCTACAGCGATAAAAGTAGCCGAAGTGGCTCCGTGGATACATCACTCCAGGGTTAAACCAGCAGCAGCCGATTCCTGGCAAGTTACAGCAAATCCAGAGAATCCCTGCAAGATCCGGTTAAAACGCACGACTCAGTCGGAGTGACGAGGAATCTTGTAGATTACAAATTTTATTGTTTCAGAGACTTGGTAAGTGAGTGAGAAGGCCATAATAAAGCCTGTCCACTCACCAACGAGTGTATAAGTCAGGGAAAGTCTTGAGGGGACCCCTGTGAAGACGAGCAGAACTCCATTCCCTGCAGCCCTTACATCCTGGAAGCTGAGGTGCCTTCGCACGGACGAAGACTGAGGATGACGACGAAAGATGTATTTTTAATAATGTTTATTTATGTGTATTTTTATATTCAGGAAGGTAGAGGTACCAACACTCCTAGCTGTGAGGTATGCATTAAGACTACAAGAACAGGTAACCATATATCCCAGACCCTAATTTGGCATTCGCAATATGAGTGTAAAGGAGATGTATCAAGATGTAGATACTTAAATATAGAATATAGTGTGTGTCATTTAGGAGTAGGAGAACCTAAGTGCTTCAGTCCTGAGTATCAACCCCGTACAATTTGGTTGACTCTCAGAAATGGAGATCCTCAGGGGACCCTAATTAATAAGACGGTATTAGAATCCGTATATTCTTCAGGTGCTCTGCTATTTGATGCGTGTAAAGCAATATCAAGTGGTAGAAAGCCGTGGAATGTATGTGGGGATCTTAGATGGGAGAGGACGTATGGGTCTAACGATAAATATATTTGTCCCAGTAGTAAAAATAAATATGTAAGTCCAAGATGCCCAAATAGAGATTATAACTTCTGCCCATATTGGTCTTGTGTGGGGTGGGCGACTTGGGGACAGACAGCAGACAAGGACATGATTGTGACTAAGTTGCCTACTAATCCATATTGTAAGTCTATGGAATGCAATCCAATCCATATACTTATAAATAACCCTGACAAGTTCTTAGATAAATATGGTAATTTATTTGGGTTTCAAATATATGGGACGGGTTTAGACCCTGGGACAATATTGTTTATAGGGATAGAGACTGATACGGTAACCTCCCAAACTCATCAAGTATACCATTCCTTTTATGAAGAGATGAGCATAGATAATAAGATCCCCCATAATGCTAAAAACTTGTTCATTGATTTAGCCGAGAGTATTGCCGGTAGTCTTAATGTTACCAACTGCTATGTGTGTGGAGGTACTAACATGGGAGACCAATGGCCTTGGGAAGCAAAGGAGGTAATGTCCGGTTCTGAGGCAGTTGACCAATTAATATCTACACAAGCCGACTATCATATGAGTGTTAGAGGTAAATCTGAGTGGAGATTGAAGACCTCCATCATAGGTTATGTTTGCATAGCGAGGAAAGGAATGATGTATAATACTTCTGTAGGAGAATTAACTTGTCTAGGGCAAAAAGCTTATGATGATGATACAAAGAATACAACTTGGTGGTCGGCTTCAAATGTCTCAGAACCATCTAACCCGTTTGCAAGATATGCCAATTTAAAGGACGTATGGTTTGATCTATCCATCACATCTAACTGGAGAGCCCCAGCGAATTTGTACTGGATCTGTGGTAAGAAGGCCTATTCGGAGTTACCACAGGACTGGGAAGGGGCATGTGTGTTGGGTATGTTAAAACCATCCTTCTTCTTGTTGCCTATTGAAACAGGTGAGACTTTAGGTGTTAAAGTGTATGATGTGAATCATAGGAAGAAAAGGGGACCCATAGAGATAGGTGCCTGGGAAGATAATGAATGGCCTCCCCAGCGTATTATAGATTATTATGGGCCAGCCACGTGGGCAGAGGATGGTACCTTTGGTTATAGAACCCCTATTTATATGCTCAACCGCATTATAAGGTTACAGGCGGTGGTTGAGATCATTACTAACGAGACATCACAAGCGCTCAATCTTCTAGCGAAGCATAATACCAGGATGAGAACAGCAGTTTACCAAAATAGATTAGCCTTGGATTATCTTTTGGCAGTAGAGGGAGGTATATGTGGGAAGTTTAACCTGAGCAATTGCTGTCTTCAAATAGATGACGAAGGGCAAGCAATAGCTGAGCTTACTAGCCATATGGTTAAACTAGCGCATGTGCCTACTCAGGTATGGAAAGGGTACAATCCAAGTAGTTGGTTTGGTAGCTGGTATGAGTGGTTTGGAGGGCTTAAGGCAGTGGTAGGTGGAGTCCTACTGATTTTAATGTTGTGTCTACTCCTGCCGTGTCTTATACCCTTAGTAGTTAGGTCTGTGCAAAGCCTGATAGAAAATATAGCAGAGAGGAAGGCTGCTGCACAGATAATGGCAATTTATAAATATAAGGCTCTAGATCAGGGAGAACCAATGCAGGAAGACGAGTGTTGAAGATTCACATCATAGGATAAGTCTGGTCTGGTTCAAAGGTAACTTGTGGTGTATGCAAACCAAGGTTAAGTGATGCCTCAAGTAATTGTAAAATATCAAGAGGCATCAAAGGGGGGAATGTGGTGGAATCTCGGTAAAAATAAATTTAGTGGGCCGAGATTACCACGTGGCATGTGTACGTGCATATGCTGACGTATCGATCAGTTGGTTGCACGAGGCAAGATACGATCAGTAGTGTACGGAGCATGTGCAAGAATACAGGATGTAGTATTCCCCTCCTCCATTGTGCTGGACAAGCCATGCGGTCAAGCAGGAAGTTAATTCTTATTTGTAATGATTGGTCAAGAGAATGTGCGGGTGGAGCTTAATATGGGAGGAGTTATGTGCCTATATAGGGAGCCTGCACTATTGTTCAGGGCTCAGAACTTGCTGTATTTTTGGTGACATTAGTCCCTCTGAGTCCCGATCGGTGATCCAATAAAGAATCTCTTCCTTCCTGAAGAAACCTGTGTCCATCCCTCTGTGCTTTGCTTCCGTCAGTTTCTCCGGTATCAGATACAGTAAGATAGTTCTTAGCATAGTGTGCCATGCTGTGCCCATCTCTCAGTATACAGTGATAATAAGATACAGTAAGATAGTGATTAGCATAGTGTGCCAGGCTGTGCCCATCTCTCAGTATACAGTGATAACAAGAAACAGTAAGATAGTGATTAGCATAGTGTGCCAGGCTGTGCCCATCTCTCAGTATACAGTGATAATAAGATACAGTAAGATAGTTCTTAGCATAGTGTGCCAGGGCTGCCCATCTCTCAGTATACAGTGATAATAAGATACAGTAAGATAGTTCTTAGCATAGTGTGCCAGGCTGTGCCCATCTCTCAGTATACAGTGATAATAAGATACAGTAAAATAGTGATCAGCATAGTGTGCCAGGCTGTGCCATCTCTCAGTATACAGTGATAATAAGAAACAGTAAGATAGTGATTAGCATAGTGTGCCAGGCTGTGCCCAGCTCTCAGTATACAGTGATAATAAGATACAGTAAGATAGTGATTAGCATAGTGTGCCAGGCTGTGCCATGCTGTGCCCATCTCTCAGTATACAGTGATAATAAGATACAGTAAGATAGTGATTAGCATAGTGTGCCAGGCTGTGCCCATCTATCAATATACAGTGATAATAAGATACAGTAAGATAGTGATTAGCATAGTGTGCCAGGCTGTGCCCATCTATCAATATACAGTGATAATAAGATACAGTAAGATAGTGATTAGCATAGTGTGCCAGGCTGTGCCCATCTATCAGTATACAGTGATAATAAGATACAGTAAGATAGTGATTAGCATAGTGTGCCAGGCTGTGCCCATCTATCAGTATACAGTGATAATAAGATACAGTAAGATAGTGATTAACATAGTGTGCCAGGCTGTGCCCATCTCTCAGTATACAGTGATAATAAGATACAGTAAGATAGTGATTAGCATAGTGTGCCAGGCTGTGCCCATCTCTCAGTATACAGTGATAATAAGATACAGTAAGATAGTGATTAGCATAGTGTGCCAGGCTGTGCCCATCTATCAGTATACAGTGATAATAAGATACAGTAAGATAGTGATTAGCATAGTGTGCCAGGCTGTGCCCATCTCTCAGTATACAGTGATAATAAGATACAGTAAGATAGTGATTAGCATAGTGTGCCAGGCTGTGCCAATCTCTCAGTATACAGTGATAATAAGATACAGTAAGATAGTGATTAGCATAGTGTGCCAGGCTGTGCCATGCTGTGCCCATCTCTCAGTATACCCCACTGGGAGGATAATAACCAGCCCAGGCTGACTCCCTCACAGCCTCCCGTGTTTCCCGCTCTGTGTAACCGCTGTTCCTCACATCAGCCCCGCCCCCTCATTTTACCAATGCCACGCCCACTGACTCGCCCCCCTATCCTATATAGCGGTCTAGCGTGACATCTTTATATGCGCCTGCCGTGACGTCATTAGATCCGCGAGAGCACAGAAAGGCAAGGGGACCAATCAGATCGCGCGCTCTTTTCCAAGTCGTTTCTAAGGGGCGGGGTGATATGCTCCCTCAGCCAATGGCGAAGGCGCTAAGTTGTTTACAGGGCGGAGCTAACTGTCTGTGCGCTGCTGTGTGCGCTGCCGCTGTCCGCATTGGGTCCGGTGTCGGAAGGCGGAGAAGAGGACGCCATGAGCCTGGCGGTGAGGTGAGTGCCGGTACCGGCCCGGAGCCGCTCTGTTACCGGGGAGCATCCCTGTGTCACAATCCCTGTGTGTGCTGTCAAGCCGAGTAGGCCCTGGCTCCATGGAGATTAATAAACCTCTCACAGCTAATCAGCACCACAGAACTACAACTCCCGTGATGCTCTGCTAGCCTTATGGCAGGTTTAGCATCATGGGAGTTGGAGTTCTTAAAAAAATATAGGCTTCTACCCTTTGCAAAGCTGGCCAGTGATCCCCTATGCAGGAGGGGGGAGGGGGGGGGCAGGTTAATTCACTTTAATGGTAAATGTTCACTCTGTCTTTATATTGTAGGACAGACTTGGCCGTTGACAAAACAAAAAAGAAGAAGCGCAGAGAGCTGACAGAGGAGCAGAAGCAGGAAATCCGAGATGCCTTCGAATTATTTGATACCGATAAGGATAAAGCAATCGACTACCATGAACTCAAGGTAACGTTTAATGTGTCCGAGCAATTCTGAAAATTCTAAATCTTTCCTGTAGAGAATGTAACACACAGGGTGAGATCATACACACGCGATAGGATTTTGCGATGTTTGAATCTTGTCTGTGTGCGTGGTTTTTAAAATGTATTTTATTTATTTATGTATTTTTCACGGTGACGTGAAATTTCAACCACGGGCATTACGTATATTCTTTTTACTGACGATAATAGTTATCGAACGGAAGCAGGTGCTTTACAAGAAATAACATCTTAGCATAAAACATTATTCCCTTTTAAATTTATATCACAACAATTTACCTCAGTCTATACAGAGCCTGGGCAACCCTTATAAATGAGGAGGAATAGAGACATTTTCATTTTCTTCTTTTTTTTTTTTCTTTATGCTGACTGCCAAGTGTGAAGGACAGGTCTTGTAAAAAGAACAGAGAGGGAACTAGGAGTAACCTCCTTCAGGAAAAAAGATATATGACCTGATTAAGAGGTTCAATGACCATCCCTCTCCTTTTTGGCTAGTGTCATTCCTTCTTCACCACACCTCAGTGGTATCGGTGAAATCATAAACACTGCTGACTACTTAATCCACCTGATGTGGCGTAAATCTGATGCCCTGTCTTTGAGGCTTTGGTTTACTAGGATGCTGGATCTTCAAACAATGGAGGAGCTTGTTTTCAGCACCTCAGGTAGTATTGACAATTTGGATACAATGGATAGCCACTACCAAAACCGCTAATATTCAGAAACCTCTGGATAGCCCTCAGATTTTCTACAGTCATAGGTAGCCTTGCCTTTTGTCTAATGGTGGAAAATACTAGTCCAAAGCAGTCAGTCTGGGGTTCAGTTAAATTCTAACACAAATATTGAGTATTTTAGTAAAGACTGGATCTTTACGAAACACTAATTTTTGATGTGGGACTGACAGACGCTTTTAAAAACATGACCTAAATATAGAAACTTGTTAAGCAGGTTTTATTGGCAACAATGCCAAAATCATTTAGGATACCAATATAAATAGTCTGAAAAACCAGATCTCTTCCCACCTGGTGAGTGTTAAAGGGAAACTATAATGCTAGGAAAACAAACTCGATTTCCTTACACTATAGCTTTCCCCTTTGTCAATCCCCCCCCACTCTCCGTGGTGCAGAAGGGGTTAATAACCCATTCTGTCACTTACCTGGGTCCAGCACTGATGCCCCTCAGCTCTGGCTCAGCACCACTCACACTCCTCCCCCACCGAGGTCCGCCATCCGGCGAGACCTAATGTGCATGCCGCGCTCGCATTAGGATTTTCCCATAGGAAAGCATTATTTAATGCTTTCCTATGGAGATTCCGGTGCTGCTGGAATCTTCATGCATAGCGTGATGACGTCCAGCATTGTTCAGGCGACCAAAAGTCGCCTTCAATCTCCAAGGTTCCTCTAGTGGCTTTCTGGTAGACAGCCACTAGAGGAGGATTTAACCCCAGCAGGTAATTATTGCAGTTTATAATTTTTTTTAATGTTTTTATTTTTTTTAATAATTACATGCTCAGGGTTAAGGATGATGGGAGTTTGCAACCAAAGCACTTCAATGAACTGAAGTGGTCTGGGTGCCTACAGTGTCCCTTTAACAATGTAACAATATATCAGGCCTTACAAATATTTCTTGTATTTCCATGAAGCGTAATATATTGTTACTGTGTTATCACTCAAGTGTATACACTCAGTAGGTTGGAAAGGTCTGGTATTTGAGAGAGTTTTTCTTGATTATTTTGTAGTAATTAATTTAGAAGGATAATCCTGGAAATAATCATAGTGCTGCTCTACTGGCAAAAGGCACTAGAATTTTAGTTTCTGATTTTTTTTTATTTTTTTTTATTATATATAGCTCTTTAACTCCTAAATACAATTGATATACTATCTGAAAAAAACAACAGTGTTTTAAATCTAGGAGATTAAGTAGCAAATTACGTTCCATCTGGGGAAAGGGGATTAGAAAGGTTAAGTGCCAGCTGGGTATGGGGATTGGGCAGATTACGAAACAGGCTGTGGTCTTGAGCTAGTAGCCGAACCAAATCTTTACTCTTCACTTAAAATGTGTATGGGTTGTCAGGTTGTGTTAATGAATGGTTGTATATATTAATTTCCCCAATTTTTTGATCACAAACATCCCATGTTTTGTTTTTCACAGGTAGCAATGAGAGCATTGGGATTTGATGTTAAAAAAGCGGATGTTCTAAAAATTTTAAAGGATTATGACAATGAAACAACAGGAAAAATTACATTTAATGATTTTAATGAAGTTGGTAAGTGTCCTTAAAGCTACACTGTCATGCCGAACTTACCTTTCCCCAATCGCCTTTTCTTCCTATCTGATCTAGTTTTCTTTAAAACCTAAAACAAAGTAGGGACATGACCAGCTTTGACCCACTTGCTGTGGTCAAAGTAATTTTACCACAATACTCTCCCTTTCCTCCGTGATCTCGCAATGCCTCCTTTTATGCATTCCCGAACATCCTGTCATATAGACAGGACCCCGGCAAAACTACCAAATTTCATCCTAACAGAATGAGTATAGTTTGTTCATTCGGTACCTTTAGTTTATTTCGAAATTTAATTTGAATGAATGAAATTCCTATCTGTGCCGCAGCTGCATCTTGCAGCCGCATAGTAGATAGCTCCCTGATACCGTGGGAATTAGGGAGCTATCTACCGAAAGGCTGAAAGCCCAAAATTGGTCTTTCAGCCAACTTTACTAATGCTAACTAAAGATTACTTGGTTTTCGTAAAAAAGGGAGACTGCCCCTACTTGCTATGCCACGAGTAGGGACATGTCTACTCAACATGAGCGGCGGGTGGGTGCCCTTAATGACAATGGGGGACCTATTGTCTTCCCCTGGCTCCCTATCCATGAGCAGTGGGTGGGGGCCCTAAATGACAATAGGGGGGAAGGCTTCAGGCTTTTTTTTTTTTTTGCAACAGTGAGCAGCCACAGGTATCTCACTCCTCGTAAGAAACAGAACAAACAAACACTGACATTCGGTCTTGTGAAATTTCTATTCATTCATCCTTCTGACAAATGAATAGACAAAATTTCCTTCCGAATTTAGGACAATAGCGAATGCCCAAGTGTTTTACTCGTCATGCATGAGAATTTCACAGCACTATCTAGTGTGGGCAGATGATGTGTCCCACAGAGCCTTCATCTGCCCACACAAAGATGGCTGCGCCTAGGTCCCGGGACAAAATAAAGTTGAAATAAAAGGTAATAGGGGGGGCCTAGGGGCATTTGGTGTTGACTAGAGGGTTATTTAGATGTAGTGGAAGGGGGTTAAAAAAACAGATGCGGCCATGACAGTGCTGCTTTAACAGTGCCGTTTTCTTTTTAAGGCAGTCTCCCTTAATTTTATTTACCTGCCGTGATTTGTGTAATGGTATTTAAAGACCTCTTTAATGACCATTAACTTACCAAAATAGCTTTGACGATTTTTTTAATTTATTTTTTTTGTACTCTTTGCAAATGACAGTGATTATACTGCACAATAAAAATAAATCCCAAATATCCCCCATAAGCACAGTATTCCCCTTTGTTTTACTTATTTTTTTTTTTTTTTTTAAATAATGGTTTGTGCAATTTCAAGAACACATATACATTAATTTCATTGCTTGATATCCGTCTTTGCTTTTATTTAGTTACAGATTTAATACTCGAACGTGATCCACAAGAAGAGATGCTAAAGGCTTTTAAGTTATTTGATGATGATGACTCCGGCAAGATAAGCTTGCGGAATCTCCGACGCGTTGCTCGAGAACTTGGTGAAAATATGACCGATGAAGAATTACGAGCTATGATTGAAGAGTTTGATAAAGATGGTGATGGGGAAAGTAAGGTTTTTTTATTTATTTATTTTTTATTTATTTTTTTAAAATAAATTCTTTATTTTGGTTGTGCATGTAGGAAAGAGTACAGGCAAACTTACTATGCCACAGCAGCATAAGCAAGCAACAAAACACATGTTTAAAGCATTAAAGGGACTTACCAGTGCCAGGAAAACAAAACGTTTTCCTGGCACTGCAGGTCCCCTCTCCTTCCCACACCCCATCCCCTTTAGTGACTTACCTGTATCCTGCGCCGATGTCCCTCAGTGCTGGTTCAGGGCCCGCACATGCACCTCCCCCGCCAACGTAATCCTATTGCGCATGCTCGGCCGCCGGCGGAGGTCTAATGCGCATGCATGGCAATGCCAAAATGTTTTCAATGCTTTCCTATGGGGATTTCAGCAACGCTTGAGGTCCTCACATAGCGAGGATGGTCCAGCGACGCTATAGCACACGGAAGTGTGTAGACAGCCACTAGAGGAGGAGTTAACCCTGCAAGGTAAATATTGCAGTTTATGAAAACTGCAATAATTACACTTGCAGGGTTAAGGGTAGTGGGAGTTGGCACCCAGACCACTCCAATGGGCAGAAGTGGTCTGGGTGCCTGCAGTGTCCCTTTTAAGTGACATATGAGGGACATGCACATTTTTATGGTAATAGAAGAGATATGTGAGGGTTAATGCAAACCATAAAAAAGTAAACTATACTTGGTGCTCCAACAGGTTTATACTAAGCTTAGCTTGATAAGTATGTAACAGTAGCTGTATTTTGTGAGTATAGAAAACATGTCAGTGTTAAATGTCTGTCGCTGAGTGGCTGAATATATGAAGCAAGATATATTAACCACTGGAGATATAGACTGAGATGGCTACGTAATGGGGTATTATGCTAAACTGGTTATATATAGTCACAGCCGATACAGTGTGCTCACGAATAGTATTAAGGCATGCCAACTGTGAGTAAGAGTAGTGGGCGCTTCAGCCTATGCCCATTAATAGGAATGTCCTGTTTCCTGTCACTGTCTGCCCCTTTGATGGAGCCGTCTGAATCAGCCCCAGCTTTATCACACGTCGGCAAGATGTTCTCCTGCTCATCAACGTGGCAGTCGGCTTTAGCCAGTAGGTGCAGAGTTGTGCATCGCTGATCAGAGGCCTCTGTGGCAGATGTGTTGTATGCAGGTTGGGCTTGCTTGTTGATCCAGCTTCGGATCAACAAGAGCGAGTGCGTGCGCCCGAATAACATGGCATTGTTTCCTGCTATAACTATCTTTGGCGTCTTCTTTTCCGCTCGAGGTGGATACCCATACAGGCGATGCCTGGTTGCTGGGCGGATCCAGAACCACCACTCTTACAGCATGATCGTAGGTCAGTCCACGAGTGCAGAGCTTAGACAAGAAGATCACACAGAGCCTGTCAAAGGCCACTAGAGGATGCATGGGTGGCTGGATGCAGGTGCTCTTTGTCGTTGGCCCCCAACAGTGCAGCCATCTTGATTGGGCCTCGGCAATCCAATACAGCTGCAGACTGTGTTGCTGGTCCAGGTGAGCCCGTCAGCAGTCCAGTAGGGACCGGGATATCCCCTGCCGGACCAAAGGGGGGAGGTGTTATAGGGCCTTAAGGCAGTTGGCAAGCCACACTTCAAGGCTCAGGATCGGCCACCTCCCCCACCTCGAGAGTAGCAGCAGGCCACGGATAGGTCAAGTACCGGCAGAACCCATCAGTTGCACGCTTGCACTGCTCGGGGGTCAGTAAGGGTGCTCCCCAGGAATAGATGCAGGATTTGGACCAAATAAGCACTTATGGAGGTATATAAAGTAATGAGCTCCGGTTCTATGAGACCATCTTTGTCGGCCCTGCTCCCCCACCCCAGTAATTTTTTATGTCTGACTATAAGGACTCTTCGCTAAGTCAGTGAGGTAAGAATAGAGAGTTTGGAAAAAAGCCTTGTTTGTTCATGTTGTTTATTTAAATGAGTAAACTGAGCAAAAGCTCCCTCTGTTGGTAAACAAGCATGTGGATATGTGACATTATGCCTGAAACACACTTGTTTGTGTCGTTCTGCATATTCCACAAAGCATTATGGGGAAAATAGTGGAAACTTGAATTGAAGGGAGGCATCTGTTTATATATGAAAACACAAGGTGATGATTAAACATAACCAATAACTGTGACACGATTTGATAACGTAATTAATATGTTTAATTACATTACACTCACCCGTGGTGACAGTGTCTGAGCAGCAGTAACTCAAAGTGGCAGGCTGTACTGATTACAATTAATTTACTTACAAACAACAACAACACAACCTAAACCACCGATTTTATAACATGTGATTCCCACTGGATTAACCCCGTTAGATGCCTACTTATTTTTTTGTGTCATACAAGCTTTATTTTTATATTTTTGCTTATTAAATGCATAAATAAACACCTGTATAAGTTTGCTTATCCAGGTTATTGTAGCCAATACTGGGTTCCTTTTGGGTAAAATAACTCCACTCACTTGTACACCATTGACAAAAGCATGTGTCTGATCTGCATGCTAAACATTCTTCACAAGATCACAGCAGAGACTCTGAGACCACCATTTTCCTTCAGGCAACTCATTAACCCTATTGTGCTTTTCTGTGAAATGGAGGCAGCGGTTCTCGCTAGACATGCGCAGAAATTAGTTTTGCGTTATTCTTCCAAATAAAATTCCTTGTAATCGATTCTAAATAGTTTTTACCTGTTGGGTCTACAGGTGCGATTGATTCAGGATTGATTAATTCTGGTATTGATTGACAGGAATTTTATTTGGATGAATTGATTCAAACACATTTTTGTACAAGTCTAATAATCACTGGTAGCCTGTTCCATTCTCTGACAGAAAACCAGTGTTGATACACCTCTCCTTCTGCCCTTTCTCCTCATGCTCAGGAGTCGCATCACTCTTTAACCACCATCGAGACACCTGCACGAGTGTCCCTGCCATATAACATGCTTTATCCTATCGGTTCCCAAATCTCTTCTCAAGACACACACAAACAGTCTGTGAGTTTGACATTTTCCAGTTGTGTTCCAATGGGACAATGACAGAATCCGAGTCTTGAGAAGTAGGTTGGGTACCGTTACAGCATCTGATTGTAGAACCTACAATGCCAGTCTGTCCCCCAGCAAGTAAGAATAGAAATTACTTTTAAATAACATATGTTAAATGAAAGCCGGAACTCTGAAACGTCACGTGTGACTGGCTCCAGGAATCACGTACTCTTAATTTGTTTACAAAAGGTTTATTCACAAATTTGAAATGTTCTAATTGTATCAGTCCCTAGTAAGAAAATGTATAAATATATATGAGAAAACTTAGATGACAGTTATGCTTTTGTTGTAGAAATGCAAAGGTTGAACAAGCGAAAATATTAGGAGAAAATGTTATTTTTGTTTAAAAAGATATATTATTTATTTTTTGTGTGTGTGTTCTTATAATGGCACATCTTATATATATTTTTTTTTTTTCCCTCCCTTTCCATATGTAGTTAACCAGGAGGAATTCATTTCCATAATGACAGGAGACGTATAGCCAGTCCGAAAGCAGATTTTGCCGTGATATCAACATGCTCTCAACGATGTTTCTCGAATGTTTAGTAGTGTTTTTTGTTTTGGGATTTATCTCTTTCATGAAGGACCAACATTTAATGCTATTTAAAGTCAGTATGTTGTAGCGTATTATGTTACATTGTAATATTTCTTTTTTTATTTGTATAATAGTTTTTTATGCAGATTTTGGAAATAAATCATATCATTCTTATGGTTTCTTTTCTTTGTAACCGCTGTATTTAAAGCATTATTGATTGACTCCAATGTTGTGAATAGGAGGAGAGAACACTGGATTAACTCATTGATATGTATTATTATTAGTAATTTTGACTGTACCTCACATGTTGAATGCAAAATGAGTTGCTTTTTGTTAAGCCTATTCGAAAATGACCCCTCTTCTGCAAATAAAAATGTTATAATCGTTAAAGGGACTCTCCAGTGCCATGAAAACAAACCGTTTTCCTGCCACTGCAGGTCCCCTCTCCCTCCCATCCCAGGTTGCTGAGGGGGTTAAAACCCCTTCAGTGACTTACCTGTATCCAGCACCGATGTCCTTCGGCGCTGGTTCAGGGTCCCCCCACGCTCCTCGGCGTGGGAGGCCTATTGAGCATGCGCGGCCGGCGGCGGGGGAGACCTAATGCGCATGTGCAGCAATGCCACGCACGCGCATTAGACCTCCCCATAGGAAAGCATTGAATAATGCATTGAATAATGCTTTCCTATGGGGATTTCAGCGACACTGGAGGTCCTCGCATAGCGTGGGGACGTCCAGCAACGTTATAACACACTTTTCATGTTCTATGAACATGGAAGTGTCCTCTAGTGGTTGTCATTAGAGGAGGACTTAAACCTTCAAGGTAAATATTGCAGTTTGTGAAGACTGCAATAATTACACCTGCAGGGTTAAGGGTAGTGGGAGTTGGAACCCAGACCACTCCAATGGGCAGAAGTGGTCTGGGTGCCTGGAATGTCCCTTTAATAAAATCATGCCCTTTTGGCAGAATTCTATATGTATCCCTAGGAAAACTCTGAGTATTTTAAAATAAAGTTTATTTAGCCTAATCCAGGGCTGGGCACAGTAGCCTGGCGCTGTTTGGTGCATCTACATCTGACGATACGGGAGGCGTGCCGAGGTCCAATCAAAGGTTTCTCATAGAGGGCAGTGCCTGTGACATTCATTGAGAAGCCTTTGATTGTACCATTTTATTTTTTCATGGTGTGCTCGGACTGGGTAATTTTAAAACAAAATATATATATATATATATATATAATATCTCTATCTCTCTCTATCGGAGGAGTGTGGGAGGTAGGGCTTCATTTAGGCTGGGGAAAGAAGAGCTTGCAAGAGAGAAGCAGCTACATCTGTTGCTGGTGTGCAGTGCGTGCTAATGACAGATGCCAATTCTGGATAAATTACATTAGGCAACCTGGAGGGTTTTTTTTTGTTGCAATTTTTATGGTTTTACAATGTGTACAAATTTACATTCCAACATGGTACATTGGTTAGAGTAAGCGTTACAATATGCACATGCTATCAGTTCACATTTTTTAGATGAAAGATTCTTAAGTTACACCATACTTTGTTACATCATACACCTTATAATTCTTTCAGCTCTTTATTCCAGATGAGCTCTAGTGGTGGGGCTGTTTGTGCTGGTTTCTGGTCTTAACTTGTACTGTACGTTCCTAATGGTGGTTGGGATTCGTATGGGGGGATGAACTTGGAGGTAGAACCAGGATACTGTTCCCCAAAGAACTGGGGAAGGAGTGGTGGGGAGTAGGGAAGAGGGTCGACCCTTGTTGCCTTTACCCATTTTCTATGTATTGTCTCATTTTGTGTCATTTATCTTGGTGCATCTTTTGTGGTTTTCCGTGACACTACCATTCGTTATTGCTCATTATTGTTCGTTGTCGTTGGAGCCTTTACTCTGTATTAGTGGGTTTGTGGCATGTGTTGGAGCACATAGACCCTCACAGGCATACTGGAGGGTGGCGTGGTAAAGGTGGAACAGGCACCAACACACGCCGCAACCTGGAGTTTTAAACTGCCCAAGTCATGTGCTGGGAGTGCAACAGCACACAATTAAAAAGATCTCTGGCTGTGGAATGTTTCAAGCTGAAATCATCCAGCTTCTTACCACTGTGACCACTTCAAAAAGCAGAAGTGGTCATGGTGGTTGCAGTAACAATGGATCAAGGTTTGTGCTGCTCTGTGGCCATCTACATAATCTTGAAGTAGGTATTTAAGAAGTGGGGGGTGTCTGGCCATGCAGCGTATGTCATGCCAATATTAAGGGAACAATAAGAAAAAGAGGGGGAAGAACAGGTGGGTCGGAGGATTAACGTACCTGATGACTAATTGAGGGTAGAGACAAACCCACTACCACAAATCCAGGCTAACCCAGGTAAGGCTTCCTATGGTCATGTAAATACAATATTAAAAAAAGAATAGTATTTATATGCAAGTGGCCTGAATCATAGTATGCATGTAGGGGCCAAAAACATACAAGCAGCTGGATACAAAGAAACAATAAATGGCACATCTTACATTATTACACATCATTTAAAGGAACACTGGGCACCATAACCACTTAATTGAAACAAAGTAATGATGCTAGGAGGTCCCTGATGTTGGCTCACCTTGAGTGGATAAACCTTCATGAATGATGTAACCCCAAAATCTGTGTTCCATCCCCGCTCGCTATGTCCTCCTCCTATCTGAAATCTTAGGTTTGGGTAGGGGTGCTGCTGATTGGCTTAGATCGGTCTGCTGACACTCCACACCTACCAGTAGCCCCCCATTCATAAAAAGGTATAACTGAAGGGAAAGACCATGTAGAATTATAGAGCTCTGCTCCAAAACAGTTTGACACAACACAATGCCCGTAAGAAACATAGAAACATAGAATGTGACGGCAGATAAGAACCATTCGGCCCATCTAGTCTGCCCAATTTTCTAAAAACTTTCATTAGTCCCTAGCCTTATCTTATAGTTAGGATAGCCTTATGCCTATCCCATGCATGCTTAAACTCCTTTACTGTGTTAACCTCTACCACTTCAGCTGGAAGGCTATTCCATGCATCCACTACCCTCTCAGTAAAGTAATACTTCCTGATATTATTTTTAAACCTTTGTCCCTCTAATTTAAGACTATGTCCTCTTGTTGTGGTAGTTTTTCTTCTTTTAAATATAGTCTCCTCCTTTACTGTGTTGATTCCCTTTATATATTTAAATGTTTCTATCATATCCCCCCTGTCTCGTCTTTCCTCCAAGCTATACATGTTAAGATCCTTTAACCTTTCCTGGTAAGTTTTATCTTGCAATCCATGAACCAGTTTAGTAGCCCTTCTCTGAACCCTCTCTAAGGTATCAATATCCTTCTGAAGATACGGTCTCCAGTACTGTGTACAATACTCCAAGTGAGGTCTCACCAGTGTTCTGTACAATGGCATGAGCACTTCCCTCTTTCTACTGCTAATACCTCTCCCTATACAACCAAGCATTCTGCTAGCATTTCCTGCTGCTCTATTACATTGTCTGCCTACCTTTAAGTCATCAGAAATAATCACCCCTAAATCCCTTTCCTCATATGTTGAGGTTAGAACTCTATCAAATATTCTGTACTCTGCCCTTGGGTTTTTACGCCCAAGATGCATTATCTTGCACTTATCCACATTAAATGTCAGTTGCCACAATTCTGACCATTTTTCTAGTTTACCTAAATCATTTGTCATTTGGCTTATCCCTCCTGGAACATCAACCCTGTTACATATCTTAGTATCATCAGCAAAAAGACATACCTTACCATCAAGACCTTCTGCAATATCACTAATAAAAATATTAAAGAGAATGGGTCCAAGTACAGATCCCTGAGGTACCCCACTGGTGACAAGTCCAAGCTTCGAATATATTCCATTAACTACAACCCTCTGTTGCCTGTCACTCAGCCACTGCCTTACCCATTCAACAATATTGGAATCCAAACTTAAAGATTGCAGTTTATTGATAAGCCTTCTATGTGCAACAGTGTCAAAAGCCTTACTGAAATCTAGGTAAGCAATGTCTACTGCACCACCCTGATCTATAATTTTAGTTACCCAATCAAAAAAATCAATAAGATTAGTTTGGCATGATCTCCCTGAAGTAAACCCATGTTGTCTCTGATCTTGAAATCCATGTGTTTTTAGATGTTCATCAATCCTATCCTTTAACATGGTTTCCATCACTTTCCCCACTACTGAAGTAAGGCTTACTGGCCTATAGTTGCCCGACTCCTCCCTATTACCTTTCTTGTAAATGGGCACAACATTCGCTAACTTCCAATCTTCTGGGACTACTCCTGTTAACAATGATTGGTTAAATAAATCTGTTAATGGTTTTGCTAGTACACCACTAAGCTCTTTTAATAGCTTTGGGTGTATTCCATCAGGTCCCATTGACTTATTTGTCTTTACTTTTGACAGTTGAAATAGAACCTCTTCCTCTGTAAACTCACGTGTAATAAATGACTCATTTATCCTTTTCTCAACTGAGGTCCCTTTCCTTCATTTTCTTCTGTAAATATTCATTGAGGCAGTCAGCCTGACCTTTATCCTCTTCTACATACCTTCCTTCTTTTGTTTTTAATCTAACTAATCCTGTAAACTCATAACACTAATTATTACAATTGGCTGTAGTAGGTATGATGGTTTGTGGGTTCCTTTAATAAGAAAAAAAATGCAGAGATTATTCATTAAACTGAGAATTGTCAGAAATTCAAAGTGAATTTCACATCTGAGGCCAAAATAGCTGAATGTAAAAAATCTAAATTATAGAACAAAGTAGCTGAACTTGAAGCAGATATGGATAATTTTTAAATTTCTGTTATTTTGGCTTCATGTGAAATTCTGAAAATCACTTTGAAACAAACAATTCTTACATTGCTGAATAACCCTGTTGGTTTTGATGACTGAAGCCTAAATGACATCACCCTAATGTGTACTCTGGATTGATTATATGCAGTGAAATGTCTTCTGTTAGTATAGTATGAATGCAGCTCTTGAAACTTCTTACTAGTTATGTTTTGGAAATTATTCTCTGAATCCTGAATTATACCAAATTAAAAGACCACTAAAGTCACCCAGACCACTTCCTCTCAATGCAGTGGTCCTGTCATTTTAACGCTGCAAAGTAAAACCGTCCAATGTCTCTATATTGCAATGCTAAGCACGCCCCT